GGAGTGAGTTTTTAATGTGTTTCATTCTAATTCAGTCTCAGTCTCACCCCCCAGACATCATTCTGTAGGAAGGTCTTCCCTGACCTCCAGACGGTGAAAGCCTTTTATTTATTACCCAAAGCCCCTGTACTTGTTAAAGGCCCTTATCACACCTGGAACTAAAGATTCCGGGTCACTGTTCCAGTCTCATCAGCTATTGGCCTGCTGAAGATGCTGTGCAGTGGAACCCTCGCTGTGTGTCCGGGGCCAGGCCAGCTCATAGAAAAAGCCCAGTCAGCCCTATTCCCAAGAGTTGGGTGGGGCCGGTGGTGGGCAGCTTGGCTGGGTTCATCTGGTCTCTAAGGGAGGCTCGCTGTGTTCTGTTGTCTGCTGTCTGGTCCATTTCTCAGCGTTCTCCAGTTCGTCTACGCTGGACTCACACGAGCAGTGCAGGGTGTAGAGAACGTGTTGTTCCTTTCTGGCCCTTCAGGCCCCTGGGCGTGTCCTCTTCTGTAGGAGAACCTGCCCTTGTGGCCCCATTCTTTCCTCTTGTTAGACTGTGCCCAAGTCTTATCTCTGATGACTCGAGGGCCGGCTAAACGCCCCCATCTTGAGCTCCCATGATCACACACACGTCAGACCCTTTAAACCTCTGCTGCTTCTCCCTCCCTGTGGGACATGGGCTTAAGATCTTTGGGGATTTCCCTGTAGCAGCCCCTTTCAGCAAAGATGATGGAAAACACAGGCCATCCCTGCTAGGTCTCGAATAGACACTCCCTGGACAGGCATTCCGAAAATCCCTGTGCAGTGGGACTGGGAGATCCTGAGATGCAAAAGCCCGTTGAGGCCGCCTGGCTGGGGCACGAGGCCTGAGCAGGGTCCTGGAGCTGGAGGAACCCTGGGCTCCAGCACCCACTTAGCAGGAGAAATAGACAAGGAAGGAGCTAGACCGAAGCATGATCCCAGTGGAACCCCCCAAACTCAATGTGTCCCACACGCAGCTGCCTTGTCTCTGCCATGTGCTGCAGCCAATGCCTACAATGCCTGGAGTCATCTCCAGAAATACAAGCCTGGCCACAGCCTCCGCTTTCCTAAGGCCTGCCATGCTTCTCCCTCACCAACATCCTCACCGCCGAGTAAGGTGTCCACAGAGCAGCTGCTGAAGCCTTCAAGGCTTCCTGGAAAATCTTGGGTCCTGCCCTCCATGCCTCTCCCCTCCCCTCCGACACTGAGCTACACCGGAGGACATTTGGGCTTAGCTAGAACTTTCTCAGGTCTCCATCAGGCCGTGAAGACAGGAAGCTGGTGGTAGAGAGTCACTCACAGTGACATCACAACAGCCCGGTTGGCCGTTGGGCATGTAAGAGAAAGTCCACAGTCACTGCTAAATTGTCCTCAACTCCAACAGTGGCCTGTGCCACATCTCTTCTCTGCTCAGCTCTTCCTAGGCCCACCTAGTCCTGGGTCTCTAGCTGGCTGAGGGGGCAGCCTTTCATCCATCCAGCTGAGCTGCTGTGAGCTCTGACTTGGGAAGGCTATAGAAACTGTTTATGGAGATTAACTAGTATGTGTAAAGGTTATACATTAAACTTACATTGAAAATTGTGTGGGAGCTGGTCAGACTGGCTCTCGAGCTTTACACATATTAGTTCCCTCACACTCTACATTTAGTATGTCACGCTGGTGCCTCGAAATTGGCCACGTCACCATTTACACTGTAGAAAGTGACAAATAGTATATCTTCACCAGTATACTAACACACCTCTGGTTATCCACGGGTACATATGTAGGGATGGTGTCTCTGTCCTCTGCTACTGTGGTCTAGTACATCACAGGAGCTCCAGATGTGGGCAGAATTTATGGATATGAAAATGGGATGAAGACGAGGTGAGCTTGTGGAACCCCAGGGTGAGGCAAAAGTGGGCATTGTCTGAAACACTGATCCTAAGTGAGGAGTTGTGCTGGGTGCCCAGAGGAAAATCCATCTGATCTAAGTAAAATCCATCTGCCAAGGCAGAGGGCCCATGGCCTTGAAATTTGGACATGGGGGCCCTCCAGAAAAATGATGGCAGTTAAAGCCTGCCCTGCTGGGGGCCCAACAGCTGGATTTCTGGGAGCATTTGTCTGCACAGGCCAGTCTTTCTCAGCTAAGAGGAAAGAAACTACAGACAACACCAAATTCAACCAGGGACCAAAGAAACTCAGAAAACATCACTAACACAGAAGTGGGGGATGGGAGAGGCCTCCACGCCTTGGTCATTCTAAGTGGGCCAAAGGCTAAGGAAAATCCACTAACCCTTTGCCTTTTGTTCAAAGGAAAGCAGAGGGGGAGACCATGGTTGTTGTTGTTGTTGTTTAACTTTGACTTAGTTTTATTTTATATGTATGGGTGTTTTGCCTGTGTGTATGTTTGGGAACAATGTGTGTGTCTGGTGGTACCTGTGGAGGCCAGAAGTCAGCACTAGATCTGTGGAGCTGGAGTCAGACAGTTGGGAGCTGCCATGTGGGTGCTGGGAATGGAACCCAGATCCTCTGGAGAACAGCCAGTGCTCTTAACTGCTGTGACATCTCTTCAGACTCCAAAGACATATTTTGGCTTATTCAAGCTTCCTTTTTCCCCCCTCATTTTTTCCCTTTCTCTCTCTCTCTCTCTCTCTCTCTCTCTCTCTCTCTCTCTCTCTCTCTCTCTCTCTCTCTCTCTCTCTCTTTTGTTCTTTGGGTTGAATCCAGGGCCTCATGGATGCTGGGCAAATGCTCTACCATTAAGTTACACCCCATTCCTTTTGGTTTTTGAGTGTGAGGTAGCACAGAGAGAAAAAAAAAAAAGAGCCAGCTGAAAATGTAGGAAGCTTAAACATAGGCTTGGAAATTCCAGAACCACACACTGATGCAGCCCTTCCCCATCTGTTCTCTGCTTTGGACTTGAAACCCTTCTCCGAGGTGCTGAACTGGCCCGCAGGGGTTGTATGTGCGTGGCTGGGGCTAACACCTTCCTCTGGTAAATCCCAGTACTCACTTCATTTCTAATGAACATGAGTGGGGGGGACTTCTTCCTTGGACAGCCATGGGTGCGTTCTCCACTGCCCTTCACCATTCCCCGACACGGTCTTTCTCCCTCCCTCCAGGGAGGCCAGCTGTGGTAATTAATACCTCTGGCCCTGACCTGCTTGTTTCCGGCTTCCTCTAGTTCCTGTCTGTCTCCTGATAATTTCCTTCCACAGCTTTCTGGTCGAGTCATCTGGAGTTAAAACAATCTACATTGTTTAAGAAGGCAACACTTCCACAAAAGGGTTAGCACCAAAATAGAATCTGGGAATCCCCTGGTGGTCGGTCCAGCGGAGACCCGTGCACAGGGAAGGTTTCTTGGGGAGGTGGTGATGATTGAGTACTGGAAGATGCCAACTAGGAAGGTCTTTACGGGTGAGGGGTGGTCAGCTCGTGTGGCTTATCCTGATCTGAAACTTCTAACACAGTATCGGAGAAACCAATTCTTCCAGCCATCTCTGGGCTCAATGCTTGCTGTGTGACAGCTTTGGGGCTTTGGGGTCCACAGGGTGGGATCTTGAGCATTCTTGGTGCCTGTTTCTGCTCAGAGGCGACACTTCCACTGAGTCTCCAAGCCTAAGTAATGATTCCTACTTGCTAAGGGACCAGCTGAGTGTGTTTCCTTGGGACCTTCTTTGGACAGTTTAGGATGGGCTTAGAGAAGTCTCGAAGCACAGGAGCTTACTCCCACTGTTCCAGGAAGTCCTGATTTACTCCCATTGACAAGGTCCCGAATTCCCAGTGGTAGGCTGGTCTGATCCTTTGCCTTCTACAAGAAATGTGGGTGCCCAGTTGAAGTGGATCTCTGCCCTGTGCTTGTCTGACTCATAGCCTTGGGGCAGGAAGGACAAGCATGTGGCTGCTGGCCCGGCTAGGCTTGTCAACAGGTTCACTGTCCAAAAGGCCTGTGTCTAAGCTTCTGGTGGGGACTGGTCACAACGGCACATCAGTGGAGATCTTGATCATTCTGGCAAGTGTGTTCTGTTACAAGGCTGTCTGCCTTTGGGCATCATATGAGGCCCTCTGCTAGTGTTTCAGAACAGACCCTGGTAGACTCCAGAATGTGCTGTATGGGAATACCCAGGCACCTTAGGGCACCCTTGTCTAGCTTTACACAGTAATGGAGGAAAAGTGCTGGGCAGAGGTGTGAGTGTGTCCATACTGCAAGTGAAGCAAGTTCCCGATACAATGTGCCACCACCTAAGCCAGTTACTGGGAGTTTGGGGTAGGGAGGATCATGACCACTGCTAGTGGCACATCTCATGAAGCCCAGAGGAGGAGATTCTGCAGGCTGGCAGCTGCCTCCTGGGCTGTGTCAGGTACAGGGGCTTGAGAGAGATGCTGACTGGTCTTTTGCCTAAGCTGAGAGGGGAGGGTGGCTACTGTGACAGAGCTCCATCCTGTTCTATTGAGCCTTACAATCTGGAGCATCCTCACTGGGATGCAGGACTGGCATGGACAACTTTACTGAGTCTGTCCAAAGGGCAGGGTCAAACTGAACCCCAGGAGTCCCCTCTTGCCCACAGACACTGCTCTTTGAGTGGAAGGCCCACAGTCTCACTGCCTAATTTTGAGGTTTCTCTTCCTCATGTTTTGAGCCAAGGACCAGGTCTGGAGTAGACAGTGGTTTTGTGCTGTCTGAATGGTCCTCCAGGTCCTCAGGAAGCTTTCGTGTGTCCTCTGCCGAGCACAGCAGATACAGAAGCAGTGTTGGAAAGAGCATCAGCTTCACACACTGCAAAGGGATCACTCTCAGGCTGAGACAGAGGGCATCACCAGCTGTGTCCTCACACAACAGGGGATGCAAGTAAAGTTTGAGTTATAGACCTGCTTTGTTGCAGGGGTTTTGTGGGAGAGAATCTTTTCTAGAGAAATAAAACCACCAGGCACTGCAGCTGTCTCTATAAGGGTGTTTATTGTTTACCAGATAAGAACAATCTGGAGTTCTATCAACAAGGAAATTATTATGTCAGTCCCAGCACATCTGTGCTGTGGAATATTTCGCAGTCATCCTGAAGGACATGTTTACTAGTTAGGTAGTGATCCAGGGAGTTTAATGGCATTCTATTAAGTCAGGAAGGCAAACTTCAGAGAAACAAATATTATACACTTGATTACAGTGTTTTAAAGGCTGTAATGGAGCAAAATAAAAACCCTTGTCTTTATATTTAAATACAGCAAAGGGGTACAGGTCTCAAACCAGGGTAGAAGGAGGGAGATGGGGCTGGAGAAACAAGAAAACAAAAGTCATTTAAAAAATGGATAGAAAGCACTAAATGAAGTTAAGTAAAGCTTTAGGGTATCCAGCGCCCTGTATTAGAATTGCAACTTTCTACGTTTGCATTTGCAAGTGAGTGAAGGAGAGGGGAGTCAGGGGAAGTGGAAAGGCATTAACGTAATTGGATGTGAAAGTGCGGCCGCTTTTCACTCTGCCCCAGCTTGCCTGAGCACCAACACCACACACACACACACACACACACACACACACACACACACACACACACACTAACTTGGTAACGCTCAGAAGGGATAAGAAAACAATGGCTGGTGAAATTGTTCATGTTATCAAGTCACTACTAGAATAATCTAGAAGTGCCATTAGGGACCCTGTTCTTAATGGTCAGCCAGTAAACTCTTGGCCAAGTCAAAGCCAGACTCGAATGTCCTCCTCATTTTGATCTGTAAGAGCAAGGATATCTCAGCTAAAAAATTAACAGGCAAAATTCGCAGTCAAATCCCACAAGAACATTCATTTGCTGCCACTGATAGGTTCGCTGGGTGTGACAAGCAGTGGTATGAGAGAACACAGTAATCACGGTGCATGGACTATGTCCAGTCTGAGCATTTTCACATCAAAATGAAGTTGGTAGCCAACAGCTTTGTGCGCCCACCCTAGTAATTAAGCCTTGAGCCAGGAGCTGAAACACCAACATCACCATCTAAGAACCATCTTTCTTTACTGCCTGCTATTTAAAATGGCATGCAAAGAAGAAACTGTGTGTTCAGGGCTTCTCCTTGCTCTCTGGTTTAGGAGTAGCAGACGTCGGGAGTCGAGGAGTCTCGGGTTGGCGGCAAAGTGCAGCAGCGGGCTGGTTTCTCTGCGCTGTCTGACCAGTGGTGAAAGGTCCCGTGGAAGGCCGTGTGTCCTTGGGCTGCCCGCCTCAAGGCCCTTTACCATGTGAAGCCTCCCAGAGATGTCCTTGAGAAGAACTGAAGCAGTGGGAACTCAGCACATGAGGTACTGTTATCAGCTCTCATGTTCTGAAATGCTGCAGATGAATCCTTTGACAACACACGTTCCCACTAAGCCCCCACAGATGCTCCTTTCAAAAGAGAATACACCCTCAGCAACTCCTGGGGCCCCCCAAAAGGGGAGGAGGGCCCGTGGAAGGATCTTCAAAGGTTAGATTTTTTAAAATTTAAATAATAGTCATATATATTGCAGAGAGCTCTGTACAAAGGGAGCATGTTTGAAGATGCTCACAGGATACCCAAGAACACACACACAGGACCAGGGGACATCAGAGGTAAACAAGCATCTGGACTTGGCCGCATGTCTGTAATTCCAGCATTCAGGAGGCAGAGGCCAGAAGATCCTGAGTTTGAGGTCAACTTGGGCTACATAAATTCCCATCTAGAAAAACAAAACAAAGAAAGAAAAAAAAAGTAAGATGCAAATGTGTCATTTACAAGGGGTTTCTTAACTCTGCAGATCATTGCAGGCAGGGACCAGAGCAGCAAACACCAATCCTTGTGAAGCAGTATCTAGCCCTACAAATGCATCCCGCTCTGAAGTTGCTCTCTGGGGGTGAGTGGCAAATTCCCCTACAATCTGATTTCTGAACCTTTGTCTAGTGTAGTGTCTCCTTCAGTTTAACTTCTTTATAATATTTCAGTCTCACTGTCAGGTGTCAAGGTGCGGAGCTGTTGCCCACTTATTTCAGGGTGTGACTTCCACTCCACACACAGGCCTGGACTAGGACCTGAGTCCTGAAGTGATCACCAGGCAGCTTCAGGCTACACAGAGCAGAAAACCTGAGGGGAGACAGACCAGGGGAACCCCAGCTCTGCTGCATCCTGTCTGTACTGGAAGATGACTTCAGCAATGTAAACCTCAGTTTCCTGGCTCAGTCCACGAGGTGGGGAATCACGTGCAGAGCACGGCACAGTTTCTGTGTTCTTTCGCTGGTTTATCACCTAGTGTAGCTGCAAAAGTGGGAGCAAGCCAGGTCCCACAGGGGTGGGGCATGGGGACAGTGAAACACCTTATTAAACACACGGTGGGGAGGGGAGTACTTGGGAGGGACTTTTGAAGTGCCGTGAATCGTCACACATCAGACACTTAGGGGCTAGAAAGAGAGAACTGGGGTACCTCTGCCCAGCTTTGCCCACTGGCTTACCTCTGTGGCTGCCAGCCTCGTTGCTGTTTATTTTACAAAGAACCAAATGAAACCCAGCAGGCAGACCATTGCTGGCTGGTCCACAGTGACCCGCAGTGCAGCTCCCCTTTCCAGCCAGAAATCGCAGCGCTTGGTGGAGCAGATCTCTTTGATCAGCCGCCAGAGGATTCGCTGGTGGAGCTTGCTATCCTGCTTCTCCCGGGAGAACTCAGCCTGGTTGGCCGCCTGGGTGGCGTTGATGCAGTTGGTCACCAGCATCTCTTTGGTCACGTTGGCGTCAGAGCAGCCTTCATAGTAGATCCCATCTGGGAACTGCCAGTAGTTGGCCGCGTAGTACCTGTTGCCCTCTGCTCCGAAGTCGATGTCCAACTTTCGCCCTTGCTTGATGAAGGCTCCCGGGCGGTTCTCAGCCACGCGGGCTTCAGTGATCTGGCCGCTGCTGGGCAAGGCCTTCCGGTTCCACTTGAACCTGTGCTTTATGCCCCTCGCCTTGATTGTGGAGAAGTGGCTGGCAAGCAGCATGCAGAAGATGGCCAGCCCCCATGTGCCCAGGCGGTTCGTCATGGTGTGAGAATCTGCAAGGAAAAGGCTGGGCTGTCACCCTCCCCACAGGCCTCAGACTCCTGCCCTCCAAGAGGTGACAGATTTTAAAGGAAGCCTCAGCTCATAATGATGTCGCATGCACAGGCTGCCTAGGGCCAACTTCCTAGTAGCTTTCTCTGTTTTGCCCAGGGATTTCTCCACTTGGTCTGATCTTTGCTGTTTGGGGCGGATGAGAAGATTAGAAAGCTGTTGACCATGCATAGGAAAACAGATGCACAATGCAGGCAGCTTTCCCTTTTGTTGCCCAGGCCTTTCAAGGCAACGACCCCTGGGAGGTAAGAGTTGGAACCAAAGGGCCTGATCAGGGCTGTATTTTCAGTTTTCCTTACTTTCCGTTGCCCCGAGGTGGCACTGTCCCATTATGTTCCTCTGTCTACTCTAAGAAATGGCTGCTGATTCTAAAGGGATCAATGAGAGGAGAATGGACGTGCAGCCAGGGGTCCCGGCCTCCTACATCACCATCAAAATGTGCTGTTGATGACTTCCCCAATCTCATCCAGGGGACAATATGCCCTCTGCTCATCCTAATAGCTTCTAGTCACACTACGTCAAGCCCTTCTGTGAGATCTAATTCTCACAAGGAGAAAGTACTTTTATCCAATTTTTATAAGAAGTTGCGCCGGGATTCAGAGATATCAAGTAATTTGCCCAAAGCTGCACTGTAGTAGGTGGCCAGTTTGAATTCAACGTTGATTCTGAGAGCATGCACCATTAACTGTCCCCACTGCCCGTGAGGAAGTCAGGGGCAGGTGCTGCTAATGGTTTGTGTTGCTGGGGGCATGATGGCTCCTAAACCAAACAGAAATCAGGGCTATTTGAGGGGTTTCAAGAGACATTAGAGCAGTGGTTCTCAATCTGTGGGTCCAGACCCCCTTGGGGTCACACATCAGATAAACTGTGCATCACCTATTTACACTACATTTCATAACAGTAGCAAAATTACAGTTGTGAAGTAGCAACAAAATAATTGTATGGTTGGGGGTCACCACAACACGAGGAACTGTATTAAAGGGTCCCAACATTAAGCAAGTTGAGAACCACTGCTTTAGAGGAAAGGGATGTTAGCAAGACTTGGGAGACTGCCAAGATTATCCCAGGGTCCAAAGAGCTGCTGATCTCAGGGACTTTCCCTCATCCCTGTCATCTCCAGCTGTGTCAGCTGTGACATCTTGCTCCTGAAGTTAGTTACTGTGGAAATCCACCCTGAATGCCAGCACCAGAGTATTCCAGCATCAAGCCCTTTGTCTACCTTGACCAGGGACATAGATTCCTACAGCACAATGGGGCGGGACTATCACCTAGATGGAGATTTTACTGTGGGTCCCTGGAGTGCCACAGCAAGCATGCCTCCCCCGCTCTCTGCAACATCCCTAGACAGGCCCGATGCTCCTGTTAGGGTGAGTAACTCTGGGGTAACACTGATGCTTATTTTACAAACAAAACCAAAAGAAGACCCAAGCTCATCCCAGCCTACGAGCATACCCTGTCACTTCTGGAGGATGCAGAGGGGCTTCACTGCCCCATCCCCGTGGGCACTGCCAGTCTCAGCCCTTGGTTGGGTAAAGTACCCAGCCTCTAGCACCTCCCACCCCAATCACAATGAACTCAAACCATCTTTTCCCCAAAGAGGACCAAGTATGAAGTAAATATTTATTGATCTTCCAATAGGGACTGTACCCCCATGTTATCAGACCATATCGTGGTAGGAGAAATCTTAAATAAGAGTAATATCATGGAAGAATTCTAAGAGTGAGTCAAACATTTTTAAAAAATGAAAGCACAGATTTCTTGAGAAGGGACTTAGCTTTCACAGATAAGGGCTTAAAAGCAGAAGCAAATTTCCCGCCAGTTAGCCCTGAAGTAGCGTTTCCCAGGAGCATCAGAACATAGGAATGCAGGGGCAGCTAGACATGAGGTGCTCATAGCTTCCCTGCCTGGGATCCCGAGGCAGGAAGGGAAGTCACAAGCCACCACTGGGTCTGGGAAACCCCTGCCACATACCTCAGTGCTCTGCTACTGTGACCTCTGGAGCCTGGAGCCCGCACTGCTCCGGAACACTTTCTCCAGGCCACCACTCAGCTATATAGGCGCTGCTGGGGGGAGGGGGCCTCGCTACCGCCCTCCAAACAGGGCAGCCCTTCCCTCCGCGGCAGGACCAATCAAGGACTCCCGGGTCACTCCTCCATCCTGGAAGATTGGAGCTTCTCATTACTCTTCACTGATGAAACCACGTGAAGATCTTGAAGTTAAGAAGGACCTGAGAACAATACTCAGAACTACAGCTTGGGCGTCTTCCATTGCCCGCATTCAAGGCGACTTAAGGAAGCCTTGCTGGACACATCTGTTGTCCTGCCCCTTAAGACAAACCTCCAGTGGCCAGGGGCCTCTTTCAGGCAGCCTCTAGGGGAAGAAGCAGTTAAGAAGGACTGGCATTTGCCTGCATTCTTATGCCCTGTAGCTGGAGTCCATCAAGGTGGAAGAGTTGCTGGGCTTCTCCTGGTTAGATGGAAAAGCAGGACTGAGTGAGCAGAGAGACAGACTTGAGGACTTTGCAGGACTTTGGGCTGTTTGGGGTCCCTAGGGACACTTGAAGGTCAAGGTTAGCCCCAAGGCCAATAGATTCCAGACCTGAGAGAACTGGGGAGGTAGAGCTGTCTATTCCCTGAGGGCCCTTACTACCTGAGAGGCCTCAAGTGCAGTGAGGAGGAGGGGTTAAATCATGCCTCCACCCCATGGTGGGAAGCTCACAGGTAGGGGTGACAGTCCCCAGGTCTTAAACACTGGAACTTTCCGGAGTGATCACTACAGAAAAGCAAAATTGAAAGTGAGTTCTGTAGGTAAGGACAGGTAAGGTTGCCTGTAAACATAATGCAGTCTTCAGTGCGATCCCACTGCTGTTCACTGCGTCTGCAGTTCTGGGCTCCTTTGCAAACCAAATTAAGCTGTCCTCCCTGTAATAATCAGCAGATGGCGCCAGAAGAGCGTACAAAGAGTTCCACCTGGCGGTGACCTCATGCTGTCGCAGCAGAACTACTGTAGTTGGATTGAGGATTTCCAGCTGCGCCCCCCCACCCCACCCCTTACCTTTGTTTGACTTTAAAAAATTGTTTCATTTCTTCTTTTAAAAAATGTTTGCGTTTCTTTGTAGACTTACCAACTCTGTGCGTGTGAACACACACGACACAAACACCCCCGCAGTAATCCTTGTGTAGATTATTTGCAAAATACAGAGAAGCAAAAAACAAACAGGCGGGTGGTGGCGGTGCAGGCCTTTAATCCCAGCACTTGGGAGGCAGAGGCAGGAGGATCTCTGTGAGTTTGAGGCCAGCCTGGTCTACAGGGCGAGATCCAGGACAGGCTCGAAAGATGCACAGAGAAACATTGTCCCGAAAAACCAAAAAAGAAAAAAAGAAAAAACAAACAAACAAAAAACCACTTCTAATATTTTACTACCCAAAGACATTTATCACTGAAAAGGACCCAGAATCTTCTAGTCTTACCGAAACTCTGTATTAGCCGGGTCACAGGCTCGCACAGCTCCAAGGCCACTTAGCCTGCAGCAATGCAGCCTGGGGCCTCACCCCTCCATACAGAGTCTGTGTACTGTCCCCGCTGCTGCCCACCCCCCTCGGCTCTCCGGCTCTCCATTCCTTTTCTGAGCAGGGCTTTGGCAGAGTAGGAGGCAACATCCAAATGAAGAGGCTGCAGATTCCTCTTGATAGTGAACAAAGGGCTGTTCTCAAAGACACCCAGAAGTGTGGAGGACAGAACACGCTGGAGAAGAAGGAGGACTCCGCAAGCAGCCAACAAGACAGGAGAAGTGTGTGAGGCGGCTGCGGAGGCGCACAGCCAGCCCTGCCTCACAGACGGCCTTCCAGTTCTAAAGGGTGGGAAACCAGTGAGCATGAGGGAGGCTTCTTTCCCGGAGCAGAGAGACCAGGGCCTCAGGCATCGTCTCCCCACCCTGACAGTGATGGGCAGGCTACCAGGGTGTAATGGGCCACCCCTGGGGTGTGGGTGTTCGGGACCCCGGGGGGCTATGGCACATGTCTTGTCAATACACAAACACCAGAAATTTAAGTGTGTTGAAAAGAAGTGATAGGGAAAGGGGGAAACTCCAGTGTGCACAAATGGTCTTCATTCCATGAATTTCTCATTTTGATTAGATCTTGGATTAGTTAAGAACACTTAGTAAACACAGTGACCATCAAGACACAACCTGCGATGTCAAATAAACTCGACTTCAAAAGGTTTCTGTGTGAGAAGATCATTCCCGCATACGTGCCGAGGAGAGAAGAGAATGGGCTAGCCAAGCTCCATCACTAATACAGCCAGGAAGGAAGGAAGGAAGGAAGGGAGAGAGGGAGGGAGGGAGGGAGGGAGGAAGGAAGGGAGGAAGGGGGAAAGGAAGGGAGGGAGGAAGGGAGGGAGGGAGGGAGGGAGGGAGGGAGAAAGGAAGGAAGGAAGGGAGGGAGGGAGGGAGGGAGGGAGGGAGGGAGGGAGGAAAAAGAGAGAGGTGAGAGGGAGGGAATGAGGGAGGGAGGGAAGGAGAGAGAGAGAGAGAGAGAGAGAGAGAGAGATCCTAGTCTCCAAGATGAGGTGGGACTTTAAGAGATCATGAAGGAAGAGTCCCCATGAGTGAAGTTGAAGAGGCTGAGAAGCCCCTCATTGCTTCCGCCAGGGGAAACAAGCAAGAGACAGTTGAGCAGGCGCTTACCTGCTGGCACCTTCACCAAGAACTTTTTTGTTGTGCTTAATTTCGATGGTCAAATTGATTGGCTTGAGAAACACTCAGGGGATTGGTGAAGTCACCTCTGGGGTGTCTGTGAGAGTGTTTCCAATGCTGCTCAGATCCCGAGGGCTCTGACCTACTGACTGGATTCAGCCTTTGGTGGACTCACATTATAGCGGAAGGTGGGATGATACAAGGCAGGCCTGGTTGAAAGAAGAGTCCTGGAGAGCTTCATCCTGCCTTGGTCACTTCCTGCTTGGCCCTCTTCTCTCTTCCTGTCTACAGTGAGGTGAGGATGCTTGCACCAGAGAATGGAGCTGTAGTACAGCAAGTTCTCCAAACTGTCGAATTCCCGCCCAGGAAGAGAGAGGGAAGCTGGTTAAGACCGGGGAACTGATCAAAACTTACAAGTCTCAGAAAGCTGAAACCTAAAGGAGCCGCCAGCGTCCCCACCTCCCCCCCAGGGAGATGCGACTGGCAGGGGACAAGTTACCTGCAGAGTCACCACCAGCTTTCATCATGCAGGGGACTCCAGGGATGCAGCTGCCCCAGTTGTCCCCTGTGCCTCTGGATGGGCTTCAGGGTGATGCAGCTGCCCTTCAGTCAGTCACGTGTGCTCCTTACTCATATTCCTGTAAGTAGCCTCAATAAACTCACGGGTGCCCTGAGCTGGACTTGAGTGGAGTTGCTTCTTGAGTCTATCATCAGTGACCTCTCTGTTGTGAACAGACATTGATTTGTGCCTCCTCGGAAAACGTCACACAATACAATTGGCACATGAAAAGGGACGACAGAACCAAAGATGAGTAGACAAGTGACTTCGCGAAGCTCAGAAGGGGTTGAAGCATGCCTAAAACCCAGATTTTCTCATCTGGAGGGTGGCGGGGAGTTTGGATGCTCCCTGGCCTTGCCCAGGCAGACCCCAGCAGATAGACTTCCCCGAGTGAGTGCTGATGTGCACATAACAACTGATAAGCTCATGCATCTCCAAGGCTACAGGGACTGGTTGTTTCTTACCTGACTGCCCGATCAGATAAGAAGTCCTTACGAGGACTGGATTTATATGGGCTGGACTTCCTATATGACCTTATAAAGTTCCTTCTCCTGGCTCCTGTTACCCCTGAGTATGCAAATGAAGCACCCTCGATGTTCTTGCCCCAGTGACATACACCACATAAATCCAACCACCATTCTTCCTAGGGTGTAAATGTCCCTGGCCCCCTCCAGTCTCCCGGGTGTTCTTACTGGCAGTCCTTTGGGATCTGCCTTTGTTCCCACCCATTCGAGGCCTCCCTGGGTCGACCTAGTGCTCATTAGTCTGACCATGCCAGACAGATGAAACTGGGCTCAGATGAAGTGGGGCTCAAGCCAGGCAGCCCTGTATTGGGAAGGAGTAGCTGCATGGCCCTGCACTGGGGAGGGGTGGCTGCATGGCCTTGCATTGGGGAAGGGTGGCTGCACTGCATGGCCCTACATTGGGGAGGGATGGCTGCATGGCCCTGCATTGGGGAGGGGTGGCTGCATGGTCCCTGCACTGGGAAGGGGTGATTGCATGGCCCTGCATTGGGGAGAGGTGGCTGCATGACCCCTGCACTGGGGAGGGGCTCCTGCACGGTCCTGCTTTGTGTGCTGACATACACAGCCAAGGCCAATCTGTATGAGATGGAGCAGGCAGTTCCCCCTGGCTCTTTGCCCATGTGGTATGAGATAATGCGCCTCCTTGAGGTGGCGGTAGTCGAATGCTCCTTGAGATGAGTGATAGGACATGCAACCAATTCTAAGCTGTCAGAGAATGGGCGTCTTTGCAGGGAGTCTTAGGGCGGCCATCTTCTATATGATATGAGGTGCTGTCCTTCCTTGATGAGCTACCATGTGACTATGGGGATGCCCCTCGAACTTGCAGGGAACCAGAGAATATATTGTAACCCCTATAGTGTCACATATGGGACTGAAAGCAGACTGTGGCATCAGGTGCATGGTGTGTGTTGTGGGTGATGAGACATGTAAATAAGTCTGAGCTGTTTTCCCAGAAAGAGCTCGCCTGTATAAGGGGAGAAGGTTTATGGTGGGGAAAAGATGTGTGGACGTGCCTACACACTCACCTCCAATTTGTCAAGGAAAGTAGATGTGGGGAATGGAGACGCTGGCTTCCTGTTTCTTACAGCAAGCAGGGCGCAGCAACAAGGGAATATGAATTATATCTATGCTAAAGAGCCCTTCCTGGGGTCCAAAACTTGGAGCCTGGGGGAAGAGTTGATAACAAGGAGGAAAAGAACAAGGTGAAGACAATAAAAGATACCCTTTGAGAGTGACCTTTTATACAAAGGAAGGGAATATTCATGGTCCAGCATGTAGGTGGAACCTTAATAATGATCCTGTACCAAACAGTGTGTAATCAGGGAATGCTCAGTATCCAAACTGCTTGGGCTGGAAGGGCTTTTAAACAAGTTCTGAAAGCATCACAGCCTGGTCTGTGAGGCCAAGGGATGAGGGGGTGAATGGGATCCACTGAGTGCCATGGAAACAGAAAAACTGGTTAACATGGCTGTCTAGCCTTCCATGGGAGAAAGGCTACAGAGCCTGAAGCAATACAAGGGAAACCAGGATCCAATGGATTGGCTCCTGTGAGCAATCGGGGACATTTATTTATTGCCTCATGAGATCCCCACAAATGTCAGGGACTGACAGACAATACAAGAAGGACAGGCATTATTGGGGAACCCAGTATGAGAGAGTGGTGGGTGATGGTGGTTCGCCAAGCTGGGTAGAGCTGGATTCACAGGAGAGTTAAGAGAGAGAGAGAGAGAGAGAGATTCAGCAGGGACCCAGGGAATGGTCTGGGCCTCCAGTGGCCCTGCAGAGACCCATGGTTGAGTGTGGTCCTTATAAGATAGGAGAAGCTGGTGAATTTGAATGATTTAGAGCAGAATGCAAATAGATTCAGTAACTGAACTCAAGAGGGGACAAGAAAGGACAAGACAAAAAAGGGATCTGTCAGGGTCACCCAAAGGCAAAGGGAGTGAGATTTATGTCAAGCTGGAGTTTTTAGGGAGAAAATGAACAGAGTCAGTGCTATGCTGGAAGCATGTGGAAGGTTCTAGAGCCTGAGAAGCAGTTCACAGAATGTATAAATAACAAAACAATGCAAATGGAAAGACTTGGGCTGAGTGCTTCTCTTCCCTGACTTTGCAGCGTGTGTTTCTCCCTGGTTTCCCAGTTCAATTGCCCTGCTGCCCAGTTTTTGACAGCCATGGACGGTCAAGAGAAAAACAGACTATGGTGCTGGCCTGCAGCATGTCAGAACCGAGGATCCAACTCCAGAGGCAGGCACAGGGGCTAGAGTGAAAACCTCGGGCCTGAGCTGGGTGGGCTGAGCTCTGCTGATACCGTCAACAGGGAGGAGACAGCCAGCAGCCAGCCCTGCTGTAGCAGCAGGATCAGGGCACGAGAAGTCAGGTGGCTCATGAAAGGTGGCCGATGCGGAGAGCTAGAAAGGGTGCTGGCTTCCGTCCATGATGCTGTACCCGAGATTGTCCTTTAGACAAAACAGCTGACAGACATGATGAGATCATGCTGTATTGGACATTTGCTAGCATTGTTTTCTTGGTATCCCCTTAGCTGCCCAAGATCACTGGGATGGATGACAGTGGGCCTTTAGAGAACTTGTCCATCTTCCATAAGAAGATTTCACTGTATAATGTGAAATGTTTTATGTCTTACAGATTTTTTTCTTTTGATTTTTGAGCTAAGGTCTCATCATGTAGCTTTGGCTGGCCTGGAACTCACTGTGTAGGCCAGGTTGGCCTGCCTCCCGAGTGCTGGCATTAAAGCCATGCCACCACAACTGGCAGTCTTATAGATTTTTAAAAGCATCTGAAAGGACAGTAAAAAAAAAAAGAAGCTAAAGAGTTTAAATGACGACACTGTGTGAGTGGGAAGGGAGATTCTTAGGAGTTATTGGCCAAGGAGGCCCTCAAGCTCTCAGAAATTATAAAAGCTGTTGCCACTGCGGTTGGCTGCACGCCAGAACTAGATGGTAAGCACCTATTGCTAAAGGCATTGTACACTTTGGATTCAGGGTATGGGGAAATCAAGATGGGGGTGGATTGGAAGTTTCCTCCACGCTGGCTGGGTTTGATAGCGCCAGAAAGTCCCATGTGGGCTGCTGGGGGAAAACTGTCACCAACTGTCCTGCTTGGCTATATAGACTTTAAGTCTACAATGACCACACGCCAAGCAAGATTGCTCATTGGTACAACAGCTGTTAGGGTGTAACCAATTGCTTTCCAGTTGGATTTTAAGGCCCAGCCCACAAGAAGGGTCATACAGCTGCCTGAGTCAGCCACACTCCTGCAGGCAAGCCCATTACCCACACTCCTCCA